TTCAAGATCTGAACAGTCCGGGTAAATATTTAACATCACAACAAAAAGGAAAAGCCCCCATGGCCGCCACCATCCTCAACGGACAGACAAGGTATTGATTGGCACTCATAGAAAGAAGTAGAAGGACAGAAGGACACAACCCTGAACAGTCATCGAAGAGTTTCTGTAATGAAAGTATTGAATGAACAAAATAGATTGCTTCAACAAAAAGATGGCATCAACAAAAAGATTCCCTGAACGAAGAGATTGCGCGAACACAGCGACTGCATAAACAGATAAATAGTATAAACAGATAAATAGTATAAAAAGGTAAATAGTATAAACAGGTAAATTGCATAAATAGATAAATTGTATAAACAGATAAATAGTATAAACAGATAAATAGTATAAAAAGGTAAATAGTATAAACAGGTAAATTGCATAAATAGATAAATTGTATAAACAGATAAATTGCATGGTCAGAGATGTTAGATGAAGAAAGATACTGCATGAAGATTTAGACAGCATTACAGACAGTTTGGATGAACAGATAGACTACCTGAATATAGAGACCGCATAAATAGATAGATTGCATAAACAGATAGATTGTATCAAGAAAACGATTGCGAGAATTAGAGAACATGGTCACCCGGTACATTCGCAACCAGAAGTCAACCAGTGCACTTCTGACAACCCTCATGGGAAACATCCGCAATGTGGAAACTGCTTGTCTCATAAACAGTCATTGTTGCTGTTTCTAACAATAGGCAGGTAAATCGTGTCGTTGTCGAAACAACAGCGGCTGGATGCCAACCCGATGCCAGCCCGATGACAACCACCTGAGATGACTTGAGAGCCACATGAAAAACAAATTGAACATTGTCTATTAGCGGTTCTTTGCTGAGGTAGATGTCAGAGGTAAAGCTAGTGCCGGGGAAAGTATTGACTCGGGGGACGGTAGAGCTGGAGGGATGGATGCTCAGGTATGGGCCCTAGCAATGGGAGAGACGTGGTAGGTCCCGTCATCGTAGTCATCATTATCGTCTTTTTGATTAGTGAAGAATAACATCGCATCACTCTATGCAGATCCATAGATGCGCCGATCTTGTCATCAGTAGCTCTACAGCAGTAACACGACTGATCTCGCCCGTTCTGTGTTGATTAACCAGACAGACGCCTTGTTCCCTTGGTGAAGTGTTCACATCTGGCTACCCCAGGTCACAACTCTAAGTCGCCTCAGCCTGGACAGGGATACCGCGTCCTGCCTGCTTGCTGTGATCTTCTCTGCCACATGCAGCTCGCATTGCAGGACAGGTGAATCACACTGACCGGTTTCTTCCACATTTTTACTTTCTTTCATTTGGTTTAAACTGTATTTTTTCATATAATAATAAATGTCTTGTAAAATTCTATTTGGGAGTTATTTAATTTTTTTTTTAATTTTAAATTGGCATGGTAATCCGTTATTTATCAACCTATTTTAATAATTCATTCACCCATTTGTTATAAATGGTAAAATTGTGAAAATCTAGTCCATCTTGTAACTTACTTGAGACATTAATTTTCATTGGTCAATTTTGCTAACCACTGTCGAGTTTCAACCAGTCGGAGAAGGTCTTACAGAAATGTAAACAAACAATAGCTGATATGTTTGAGTTTCCTGGGTTTTTTTTTTTTAAGTTTGATTGCTTACGTTGTATTTTATTAACATCATATGTGTGTCACAATAATAAGTATGGATAAGAAGAGGCGTGCAGGTCGTCATAAGAAAAGGACATTTAGTGGTAAAAGGTATACCAAGGCAGCTGTTACTGCTGTATGGGGACAAGTTACTGCTATGCGAGGACAAGTTACTGTTATGTGGGGACAAGTTACTGCTATGTGGGGGCAACTTACTGTTATGTGGGGACAACTTACTGCTATGTGGGGACAAGTTACTGCTATGTGGGGACAAGTTACTGCTATGCGAGGACAAGTTACTGTTATGTGGGGACAAGTTACTCTTATAGCGAGGACAAGTTACTGCTATGTGGGGACAAGTTACTGCTATAGCGAGGACAAGTTACTGCTATGTGGGGGCAACTTACTGTTATGTGGGGACAAGTTACTGTTATGTGGGGACAAGTTACTGCTATGTGGGGGCAACTTACTGTTATGTGGGGACAAGTTACTGCTATGTGGGGACAAGTTACTGCTATGCGAGGACAAGTTACTGTTATGTGGGAACAAGTTACTGCTATGTGGGGGCAACTTACTGTTATGTGGGGACAAGTTACTGCTATGTGGGGACAAGTTACTGCTATAGCGAGGACAAGTTACTGCTATGTGAGGACAAGTTACTCTTATAGCGAGGACAAGTTACTGCTATGTGACGACAAGTTACTGTTATAGCGAGGACAAGTTACTGTTATGTGGGGACAAGTTACTGCTATGCGAGGACAAGTTACTGTTATGTGGGGACAAGTTACTGCTATAGCGAGGACAAGTTACTGCTATGCGAGGACAAGTTACTGTTATGTGGGGACAAGTTACTGCTATGTGGGGGCAAGTTACTGCTATGTGGGGACAAGTTACTGCTATGTGGGACAAGTTACTGTTATGTGGGGACAAGTTACTGTTATGTGGGGACAAGTTACTGGTATGTGGGGACAAGTTACTGCTATGTGGGGACAAGTTACTACTATGCGGGGACAAGTTTCTACTATGCGGGGACAAGTTACTGTTATGTGGGGACAGGTTACTGTTATGTGGGGACATGTTACTGCTATGTGGGGACAAGTTACTGTTATGTAAGGACAAGTTACTGCTATGTAAGGACAAGTTACTGCTATGTGGGGACAAGTTACTGCTATGTGGGGACAAGTTACTGGTTCCACATGACAGCACGCAGGTGTTATCCACAGCCCCTGACTTCTAGTGATACTTCTACTGTGGTGAGTCATTCAGACATTAACAGATCATCATCATTTGAGAAGCTTTCCAGCTATTATTACTGTGGATACTGGTGATTAAACTTGTATTAGGCTCCACTCGCTAGCTCAGTTGGTTAAACCTGTCTGCCAGGCGACCATGTGACGAACTGTTTATGGTCCAGGTTCACGCCCGGCTGTAGGCAGAAACGCTATATTTCTCCTAGGTTTACTATATCAATCAGGGAATCAAGGCCGAAGAGTGGCGATATCAATAGTACCGAGTCAAAGGGTTAACAACTCGTGGTTTCTGGATATGGGGGAGGGGGAGAGGGGGAGGGAGGGGGGGGGGGTCCTTGTATTAGTTGCCTCAGACTGTTTGATATCCACAGTCTAATTTCTTTTATTCAGCTGTTTCCATGCCAACAGTGTTTTGTCCACAGTGATAATATATTTACAGTCTCTGAACAAATGTCTGGCATTAGCTCACAGTTTGAGTTGCACTGCACCGTGTGCACACACCTTCTAATGTTTTTTTGTTTTTTTTTTAGGATACATTTTTGCAGTTCCAGTTTGCCATGTATGGCATTGGCTGTCACGACCAGAAAAATCACCAGTTTTTGGCAGCCACGAATATATCGCAGCCAGTTTCTGGAATATAGCTCAGGGTTGAAATACTAAAACAAATGAGTAATAAGATCTGTGTACAGTATTTCCGCTTTTCGTCGATTTGATCAGAGCAGCTAAAGAAGGAAATACAATAAACATGAAGACACAAAGAGCAAGACAAAGGGTTCAGACAGCTGGGGAATGTCCTGAAGATAACTCTTATGCAACAGAAGCTTATTAGGTAAAGGATTACTGTGAGAACCAGCTTGGTAAGTTGGTTGTGTGCGTGTGTTTTTTTTTTTTTTTTTCTCAAAATCAACTTTCTTACATTTTTAACAGCGTTAGTTACACTATCTCAAAACGTTACACGCGTATTGTCTCTATACATGTCAGTAACGTAGGAATATATCACTGAAACTTACTGAACTAACACAAAAACAGCATCCTGAATAAATTATGAGTTTTTGTCATTCATGATAACCCCTACTCCCATTTGTTTGAAAAAAAAATTGTACCACATAAATGAACAGAACTTTTAAACAGTAGCTTTAGGTGAAAAGTAATTAGTTCATAAAGTGTGTAACATAATGTAAAATTGTGTATGCACATTTTCATTAAGGGATCTTTATTAGTTTTTGAAATATCTTGATAAATGTTGAGAACAATTTTTGCTATTTCTCGTATCAAATTTGGCATTTTCAACCAGTATCCATAAAAATATATTGATGCTAGCCACTACAATTAATTTTTCTCCAATCTTCAACTAGTATGTACCTACAGAATTGCCTTGAACACATGTTTAGGTCGGCTCAAAGATACAGGTTGAGCGAATTATCAGTGATGTGTTTAATGAGAGGAGAGAATCCATGCATGTCTGCCGAACGTTTGCCTGGATTTTCTTGAGCATTTTTATTGAATATCTTCATCCTCATCCTCATGATCATCACGATGACCTTCTTCTGCCAACAAGGCAATTCGTTAGGAATGATTCCCTCGAAGTTACGGAGTGCTCTGCTTATAGGCGAGCAACCAACAGTCTGCATACCCAAACCAGATATGTAAAACTGATTTACACACAAACCCAAATTCTAGAATCAGAGCAAAGTTTTCCGGCAGAGTTTACCGGCTATGAAGGCTTAGTCGAAGGCAAATAAGAAGAAGAAGAAGAAGAAGAAGAAGAAGAAGAAGAAGAAGAAGAAGAAGAAGAGGCAGAAGAAGAAGAAGAAGAAGAAGAAGAAGAAGAAGAAGAAGAAGAAGAAGAAGAAGAAGAAGAAGAAGAAGAAGAAGAAGAAGAAGAAGAAGAAGAAGAAGAAGAAGAAGAAGAAGAAGAAGAAGAAGAAAACAAACTTTTCTATGTCATAGATTCTCTTTTTTTTTTCTCTTAAATTATCTTTTACCACATCTCACATCGCTTATCACTTTATCGTCGTTTACGACACTTAGTATCTTCATCTCAAAGATTCTCAGATAATTCTCTTTTATTCTTCATTATCCGATGTATTGTCGTTTACGACACAATCACCTTTTCAACGCAATATCACACGCTCTTCTGGTTTCCATCGAAAGAAAAGATAAAATATATGCAACAACAAACACGCGGACATATTTTCCCATAAGACCATTTCAAAAGAAAATAGACCATCACCCACATCGAGGGATCAAGTGTGAACCCTTCTTTCTCAGCTCTCGTGACGCAGCCAGATTCAACCCTCGATCTACCCTCGGAGTTTCCGAGCAGAAGACATAAGTGAGAAATTAACCTTTCCACGGGAGAGTTCCCCACTGATTATTTTTCTTTGTTGTCCCCACGTCATAAATGTCCCGTTGTAGCTGCGAACTTTACGGGTGTGAGTTCAAGATGGAGGCATGGCCTTTGATATGAGAGCGTGATTTATTTGTGGCCGCGTTAGATATCATTAAGAATTAAATCTTCTGGGATGGAAACAATCGGGCCCTGCTGGCTTCAAAGTCGCGTGTGGGGTCCCTGACTTCAGCATCGCCTCTGTGTTTCTATCTTTGTTTCCTCTCGGGTGAATTTGGGTAGCTTTTCTGTCTTTATAGTCTTTTGTCTATGTATGCGTGTATGTAATTTGTTGCCCAGTTCTGTTGTCCTCTTCCCACAAACACACACGCACATATACACACATCACATTCGGATATACATACCATAGAATCATCGCTATATGGTCTGATATGTATATTGTGTTGTGTTTCTCCCTTTCTCTTTAACTATATACATGTATATATAAATATATTGTGCTGACTATGTTATGTTTCTCTCTCTCTCTCTCTCTCTCTCTCTCTCTCTCTCTCTCTCTCTCTCTCTCTCTCTCTCTCTCACACTTTCTCTCTCTCCCCATCGTGAGCTCTCGTTTATTATCTTTCTCGCTCTAGGCCGTACTCTCTCTCTAGGCCATTCTCTCTCTCTCTCTCTCTCTCTCTCTCTCTCTCTCTCTCTCTCTCTCTCTCTCTCTCTCTCTCTCTCTCTTTCTTTCTCTTTTCTCTCATGCGAGCTCCTCGCTCAAAATCCTTCGCTTTCTTTTTCTGTCAGGAAGCCGTGGTCTAGTGGTGGAGTCTTAGAAATAAAAGGTGGCCGGAGAGATGCCGACCATATCACACACCACGTGTCGACTGGCTGTGAAAAACAGGTCAAGCCCTATGTGTCTCATATGTCTGAAGGCGTAGAAAATGTGTGTGTGTGTGTGTGTGTGTGTTTATCACTATAAGGACGAAGTCTTTAACTTCTTTTTTAGAAGAAGGATGCAAACTTGTCCGATTGTGTCTTCTGGTTGAGTCATCCATGACTTCCCTATTATTATTCCCTTAACAGCGCCCAGAGCATCAACAGTCTACTACGCCAAGACACATCCGCCAAAACTTGACACAGTCTACAACGCCAAGACACATCCGTCAAAACTTGACACAGTCTACTACGCCAAGACACATCCGCCAAAACTTGACACAGTCTACTACGCCAAGACACATCCGCTAAAACTTGACACAGTCTACTACGCCAAGACACATCCGCCAAAACTTGACACAGTCTACTACGCCATGACACATCCGCCAAAACTTGACACAGTCTACTACGCCAAGACACATCCGCCAAAACTTGACACAGTCTACTACGCCAAGACACATCCGCCAAAACTTGACACAGTCTACTACGCCAAGACACATCCGCCAAAACTTGACACAGTCTACTACGCCAAGACACATCCGCCAAAACTTGACACTGTCTACGAAATGTAAGTAAAAGCGAGTAGAGGACTCCCTTCCACGCATTCAGGCATATTGGGCATAGTTGTAGACCTGTTGTTTATAGATCAATCAGCACTTGGTGGTTAATATGGTCAACGTCACACCGACCGCCTTTACTTCCAAAACGTTACTTGGTACCAATTTAAAGCAATGTTGACATGTGACTATAAAATATAGCGACCAGAAACATCTACTCGAATATACCAACACGTGAAACAACCAACATTGTACTGCAGCAAGAAAAATGCGAATAGAACTTAAAAAAAAAAAAAAAAACCTACAATGTTTAGTTCTTGTTACAGCTAGCAAGATGGAGTCACCCAGACACAAATCGGCCATGTTGGGTATTTCTTTTTTACCTCTGGCGGCCATGTTAACTACAGCCCTACCGGAAGTCAGCTAAATGGATGGTAATGTAATGGTCTGTTTCCGGTTGCTAGGGGGAAGTAATCACATCAAGTGTTTTGTGTAGCTACATGTCCGTGCTTTTGTCCGCGCTTTGTGGGCCGGTTTCTGT